AATTTAATAATTAAATTATTAAAATTTAATATTAAATATAAATTATTGAATGAAATAAATATATAAAAGTTTACTCTTTATATATATATATATATATATATATAAAATATGGAATATGGAGAAGCTTACAAACTTCCTACACCGGATAGGCTTCCGAATTCGAAAACACAAGATTATTAATATTTACATGGTAGTAGAGGCCAATATCTCTACGTCTTAATTGTATTTTTTATTTATTTTTAAAATTTAATTTAGTTTCATTATTTCTAAATAATTTAATTTAAGTTTTAAAAATTCTAAAATATTCAATATTATTCTTCCATTTAAATTGATAATAACAATGATGGAGATATATCAAAAAATTTGAAAAAATCATGTCTTTCATGAAAATATTAACATAATTGGACACAAATAATAACGGCAAATTCACTATGTTGCAATATTGTGTAGAGACAATATTTTTTTGACTAGATTATTTAGTAGAATGGATCCTAAATCTTGAACCCTTAATCCAAAACTCCTAACACTTCTTTATGGTGATACTATATGACATTTCTCCTCGTCATTGACTCAGACTTGGAGAACACCGCATGTAATTGTTAACAAAAGTTGGTGCGAATTTACACCACCACAATTAGAGCACAACCTTGCGATCATGATCGAATGTAAAAGAAAATATCAAACTATAAAAATAAAAAAAAAAATTATTTAATGATTTAAAATAATTTAAATAAAAATTAAAAATAACTATTATTCATTTGTTCACCATAGCAAGCCCCACATTTATTACATAGATTGTTCCTTATATTGTTGTTATTGGTCGATATCTCACTTGAACTCTATCCTACAAAGAGTTCATCCATCGGATATTTATCGACCAGGTACAGGAAGGTGAAACTTTACCAGCCAACTCTCGTGCAAGTACACTTACAATATTAAATTTTAATATTAACTTTTATGTTATATATATAATTATATATATATAATAAACTTAATAATTTTGATGATAATATCTCAAAACATGCATAAGATAAGGTATGTGTCAAGGTCACCGGGACGGTTTGGTTTGAAGTGACAGAGATGTTGGCACTATTCCATTTGGAACATCAGATACAGTTAAGCATATGGTCTTCATCTACCTACCAACAAATCAAAGATGAAACAATAAATATCATAGTCGCCATTATTAGTAAACTGAGCTTTTAAGAACAATTGCTTCTGATGTTGAGTTCGATCTAATTTTTAGATCATTTAAAACGTGGAAAGCATGTATATATATATATATATTTATATATATATATATATATATATATAAAATATGGAATATGGAGAAGCTTACAAACTTCCTACACCGGATAGGCTTCCGAATTCGAAAACACAAGATTATTAATATTTACATGGTAGTAGAGGCCAATATCTCTACGTCTTAATTGTATTTTTTATTTA